AATTCACAGACAGTGTTGGTTGGAAAATTACTCAAGGGGCTGTGTCTAAGAAACTGAAGCAGAGTTCTGATGTTAACCTGCTTTTTAAACTGAATTTCTTGGTTCTCTTCCACAACAGCATGATCCAATCGCTTAGCAATCCGTATGTTAACCAACGGATTCTAGTTCTTGGTGACAATGTTGATCAGTACTCTGAATACAATTGGTGTTCTTTCTTGCTTGACTCAATGATAGAAAGCCAACACAAGTGGAAGGTAGACCCGACAAAACAATTCTACACGGGTCCTCTTGCATTTTTGATTGTAAGTCACTTGTATAATATTGATTTATTTTTACATTACTGTAGTTAAAGTAGTTTTACTTGATGATGAATAATTGGTGTGCTTTATTTCTTATCTCCGTCTTTCTAGCTGTTCTATGCCAATCGGGTTCTGTTCAAAGGGAGGAGGTTGGTTGAGAGAACAACCCCTACATTTTTAGGCTGGACTGACTTGGCCTTGAAGGAAAGACAGTCAGAGGAAATAAGTACAAATTCATTTGGCAAAGGTGCATTTACAGAGAGGGTTGAACTTGCACCTTCATCTCGAATGCAGAGTGGTACTGGAAACTGGCCTAAAAGTGTTAAGACAATTCGAAAGGTTAGCAAATTAAGTTGCAAGACTTTGTTCACTCAATTTAATCTCGATTCAGTAGGAGTGAATCGAGATTCACTTAAACTGAATGTCGATTCAGTTCAATGAATCGTTTTACTAATACTGAATCTCGTTTCAGATCAGTGGTTATCAATTAAGTTAAACTGAATTCCGATTCACTTAAGTGAATCTGGATTCACTTAAGTGAATCTGGATTCACTTAAGTGAATCTGGATTCACTTAAGTGAATCTGGATTCACTTAAGTGAATATGGATTCACTGAATCAGTGGTTATCAATATGATACTCAATATCGATTTACTGAAGTGGTTATCAACAAGTGAAACAGTGGTTATCAATATGATACTCAATATCGATTTACTCAATATCAGTGGTTATCAACAAGTGAATCAGTGGTTATCAATATGATACTCAATATCTATTTACTGAAGTGAATCTGGATTCACTACTACTAAATCTCGATTCACTAAAGTGATACTGGATTTACTTTAGTCGACTATGGATTCAGTCATTTGAATCTCGATTCAAATACATTGAATGTAATCTCAATCTATCGCATCTTGTCTCTCACCATGTTAATAATTTATGGTGACCAATGTCTGTGATATTCAAACTGCAGGATTGTATTGAGAGGGTGCAACGGAGAGCTGCAGAGTTGGAATCTGCAAAAGATAGATATGATGCTGAGTGTGAGACAATGAGAAAGCTGTTCCCCAATGACAACGAGCTCTTTCAAATTCCACAGAGAGTTTCAAATGTTCTTGTGCAGGGGTGTGGACATCGTGGAAGTACCTGTGACAATGAAACAGCTGTGGGAAACATTGTTGATGATACCCCTAATGTGAACACAGAGGTGAGTAGAGATATGCATGGTTCCCCTACTGTTGATCCAATATCACCTGAGTTACCACAAACACAAGTCTCCCAAGAGTTTATTCAAGAGGTTGATAAGATTATAGAGTCTGTTAGCATGGGTAAGGTTGACAGACCAGTGAGGCGCAAGCTCAGTGAATCTGGTACCCCCGAGACTGAAGAACCTAGTTTTTCTCTTGGGCTGACACATGATACTCAGACTGAGACAGTGGAAATGGTTGATGTTGTTCAGATTGCTAAAGCTTGTGAATCTGAAATCATTGATTACTCTGTACGAAGAACTGATAAACAAGCTGAAGATGCTGCTGCAGTAGATGAAAAAAAGGGTAAGAAAGTTAATGTGACCGAAAATAAGGAACATGCGGGAAGGGGGAAAGAAAAGAGGACGGTGAAGCTTGCAACGTTTCTTCGGTCACCATGGGTACAGAGGGTATCTCAGATTACTGCTAGGCAAAGTCAGCTGGAAAGCATCATATGGAATTGGGTGCATAGAGAAGAAGCAAGGCATTCAGGTGATGATTCTGCTGAAGAAGAGAATTTGTGAGTTCTTAAATCTTATTTAATGTTTTATTTTTAGGTGTGAGTCTCACTTTTTTTAGTATTTTGTCCCTTTATTAAATTGAATATTGTTACTATTTTTTTAGTGAAATGGTTTTTAAGTGGAGACAAATTGAATGTTTCTTACCTACTTTCAGGACTTTCCTTCCTTCTGAGGACATTGAGGCAAATTTAATCAGCATTTGGTCCTATGTTTTGAACAGCAGAGAAAAAATGAAGTCTGAAAATTCTCCACTTAGATTCTTCTGCAATGTTGAGACAACCGTACGTATCTTCCTTTATTTAATTTAAAATAACACTCAAGTTACATTTTATTTAACCAGTTTTATGTTGTACAGTTTTGTAACATTCATCACACAGATGAGTCCAATGATGAATTGAGATACAGTATGTTTGCTTCCCGGATGGATGAGCAACTTGCTCTGTATCCACATATGAAGTTTAATGAGATTGATATGGTACAGATTCGAAGATAATGTTTTTGTTCTTTAACCCAATTTTAACTATATCTGTAAAATCTATGATTAAATTTCACAACCATTAGGTCTTCTTTCCCATAAATGTGTTTGAGCATTTCTACATTGTGTGCTATGGGCTAAAGAATCCAAGTATGGAGCTGATTGACAATAGCAAAAACTACCCAGACTATAAGGAAAAATACCAAGGTCGTCCTGAGGGTTTGGTATGTTTTTCCACCTTACGTATGTGCTTTAAGCATTTACTAGCAGAATATATATAGGTGAATCTGGATTCACTATAGTGAATCTTGATTCACTATAGTGAATCTGGATTCACTAGAGTAAGAGAATTCCAGATTCGCTAACTCTAGTGAATATCGATCACTAGAGTTAGTGAATCTGGATTCACATCTTACTGTGAATCTCGATTCACTAGAGGTAGTGAATCTGTGTTCACAGTAGGGAATCACGATTCACTAGCTATAGCTAATTCTAGTGAATCCAAATTCACTAGTGTGAATCCAGATTCATTAGAGTGAGTCCAATTGAACTAACTCTATTAAATCCTAGCGAACTAGATCCAATGAATCGTGATTCACTGTCATGAATACTGTTTCCATATAAACAACCAAAACAATTTGTATATTACATTAGGCATTACTGTATGATAATTTGGATTTGTTATGTGACACTGATTACTTTTGATTAAACAGCACAAGAATTTTGTAAGATATTTGGCACACAAAAAAATCACAAGTCGAGTGAAATAAATACATTAACGCCTGACAGACTTGAGATGGAGTGGAGAACGGCCAAAAACGAATTTGATTGTGGTATTTTTGTCATGAGACATATGAAGACCTACATGGGCGGTGGTACAGCAAATTGGAACTCTGGTTTCCATAGAGAGGGTGTAAGTGTTTAAACTAATAATGTATTGATAATTTACAGTTAGTCTTTATGAATTAATAAAATTTAGAATATAGCTACTGAATCTTGAACTGAACTTTTGTTCATATCGACAGGAGCGATTAAAAAATCAGCTACATAGACTAAGGTCTATATATTGTTGCCAAATTCTTACTGATCCAACAAATGAATTGGCCAAATAAGTCATCAGGAAAGCCCAACAGCACCATGCTGAAACTGCCAATGTCAAAAAAGAGACGAGGAAGACCACAAGATCTCAGAGAAAATGATATTCTGTGATCAGCATAATTTTCAATGTTGAACTTTACAGTTATTGAGTACATTGTCAGTTAATGTTATAGAATACTCCAGTTTGTTTTGAACTGCTTTTCTATGTAAATATACTTTATAAGAATAGCTTCGTCATAATTTTATTTCTAGACTAGTGAATAGTTTGAATATATGAAAATACTGTGAAGGTAGTGAATGCAATTGGAAGAATTTCGATTTAAGCAGAGAATGTGAGTTATAATTCAAGGTTTTGTGTAAGATTCAGTAAATTAATCATACTTATTGTGGATTGTATGTATTTAATCTGGAATCACTGGTTCAATATTATCTTAAGTTATTACTAATTTATTTGATTGAATCTAGATTCACTATAGTGAATCCAGATTCAATTCTAGTGAATCTAGATTCAATTCAGTGAATCCAGATTCATTACAATGAAAGATTCAGTAAGTTAATCATAATTATTGTGGATTGAATGTATTTAATCTGGATTCACTGCTTTAATATTATCTTAAGTTTTTAGTAATTTATTTGATTGAATCTAGATTCACTATAGTGAATCCATATTCAGTTCAGTGAATCCAGATTCACTACAATGAATCTAGATTCACTATAGTTAGTCCAGAATCTAGATTCAATTAAGTGAATCGAGATTCAATATCAGTGAATCTAGATTCACTACAATGAATCTAGATTTAATATATTTAGTCCAGAATCACTTAAAGCGAATCAATTTTAATCTGATGACTGCATACAACTACTTCATCATTCCTTTTGAAATAATACAACTATAGTGATGAAATTCATATGCTATATGAGTAGATCTCTATTCAATATACTAACATGACACAACGTAATCATGTAATTAATAATCTAGTAAATATATGTAGTTAAGAATTACACAATTCAGCAATTTTAATAAGAAATGTATTACTAAACATGATTTTGAAACGAAATATGACAACTAAATTAAACATCACTCTGCTGTAATGTTTTCTTTAATGGGCATGTCCGTGCGTCATGGAAATCAATTTTTTTGCACATATTACACAGCCTTGGCACCTTCTTCTTTCGTTGACTAATTGATTTCTCATAATCACCAACAATTCTTCGTCCACACCCCTTGTTTCTACCTTCAATGGGAGGTTTAACAATCACTTCAGCTGGTATTTTTGAGCCAACAAAAAACTCCATTACATCATTTTTGTTCTGTGTGTCAGATTTCCAACTAGATTCACGCAAACTGTGCTTCAACTCCTTCAACTTCCCTTCCAGGTAGTCGATTTACGCAAACTGTGCTTCAACTCCTTCAACTTCCCTTCCAAGTAGTCAAGTCTCTCACCATCTAAACCTGCCAAACTCACACAGGATTGGAAATCATACCATATGTCATTCAACTTACGATTTGTAACTTCAATTACATTGCACTGTTCTGATATTTCCTTGAACTGCAATGAATGCCTCATCTCAACACCTTTTGTCCATCGGTTCATAACAAGATGTCTTGGTATTTTTGTTACATCAGCTTGGTTCAGTGCAAAAAAACCATGTCTACATACTATACCCGTTTTCTCAAACAGCCTACACGTACATTGCACGTCATTGTTCAAATAAGCGTGTTTCACCTAAAATTCAAAAAACAATGTATATTAGCATCGAATAAAATAATATGAAAATGACAAGCGCATGAAATGGCCACTGAATCACGATTCAGTGGTGTGAATCGAGATTCACTTCATTGAATCGCGATTCACTGCATTGAATTTGGATTCAATTTTTATTGTTTCAATCTCCATTATTAAGTTTTACCTCAAATATTTTTCCATGTCTCTTTTTGTCCTTTATGGAAAAAAATCTTCACATCATCTTCTTCTGATATACTGTTGATACTCATATCATAACAGGATGACATTATCTCTTTCTGTACCTCATAAAACATTATTCGAGTGTACAACTCTGCTGCATCCCTCTCCAATAACAATGACGTGTCCATTCTTGGCATCGACTTTGTTCCTTCATAGTTTAATCTTGCGTTTGTATGCCTTTGCTTCTCCATAGCACTCTCGTATCGGAGATAAAATTCCGTTAATGTGTCAGATCTACGGTTGAATTTGTCAAAGAAACTGTTCTCACTCTCTGATATTGATGTAGTCCGCAATAAACCGGCCATTGGATCATCAGCATAATAGGCTGGAATCCATGACTCCCGAATGTTATACAGTTCACACAACCATTCATTACTTTCAAGCTTATATTCTTTCATAACATCTTTCCAACCTACTTCAAATGTTGCTGGATCTATATCTATACTCCAAATCAGTGCATTGATCTTCCTCTTGAAATTATCCATCTTCGAAATGCATTTTGCCAAGTATAATATAAATATATAACGAAAGATTCAGTATTTATCTAATGAGGATTTATGATATTTATATGTGGGATTCATTACCTTTTGATTAAATTTCTTCATGATGTGCCACATGCACAAACGGTGACGTGCTTCTCTAAAGACGGTTGGTATAGCTTGCTTCATGGCAGGGCACTGATCTGTAACAATACACTTTGGCTCGTGAATCATGCATTTCATGAATACCTCAAAAATCCAAACATAGTTATCAATGTCCTCTTTAGCTATCAATCCTGCAGCAAATACAACACACTTCTTATAATTGTCGAGACCAGTGAATGGAACAAACTTCATGTTGTACCTATTGTATCACATACAAAAAATATAAGATTCACTATGACATATAATTACAATATTGAAAATCGTAAGAGATTAGCTATAAAATCTTACTTGTTTGTGGAATATGTAGAGTCAAATGATATCACATCTCCAAATACATCGTAATTTCTTCGCCCAATAACATCTGCCCAAAAGATGCGAGTTAATCGACCGCCTTCATCAACTGCATAATCATAGAAAAATCCATCACTCATCTCCTTCTTATCCGTGAACTTCTCGATGATCATTTGAGCATCTCGATCACCAATATAAAGCTTCACATCCCTACTCCAATTTTTAAACTCGGTACAGATAGCACCAACATTAGAATAACTTCCACACAACTCCTTAGCAAAGTTATATGTTTTGTTAGGCCCCATGTTGGCTTTTGCACCATCAAATACAAGTTTCATATGTGCGAGACCGAGAACTCTATTTGACTTCAAAAATTGTTTCCCACTCCCGGACACCAAAAAATGAGAATGCTCTTCAACGAATGAGAGAACATTATATCCTTTCAAACCATCAAACTTAAAAACGACTTTAACTTTGCAACCACATCTACTAGATACAGTTCTCCTTCTCTTTTTCGAAATGCTACTAAAATCCTCAAAATCAACATCCATCTTTGATTCATTGCTGCCAGCTCTACTACAAACAATGTGTTTAAGAAGAACTGTACCGTCCTCATGTTTCTTCTCTGTATGCCGTCTGATCTCAAACCCACTTTTACGTCCATACTCTCGGTAAAACTCTATACCATCCTCTAGTGATCGGAAGCTTTGGTTTAGATAAAGTTTAAATTCAGCTTCAACCAGAGGTTTCCAATACATACCACCACCTGGTGATTGAAAAGGAATCGAGCTAACTTCGTCCATTCCATCTTCCCCAAAATCACTGTCCGATGCATTTATAACATGTGGTTCCTTTATTTGTTCATTGCTGCCTACAACTGAAAATAAAACAACATAAATCATATGACTAAGTTTTAATATACTAAATCTGGATTCAGTACGATGAATCTGGATTCACTGGGGTGAATCTCGATTCACTGCAGTAAACATGTGAATTCAGTTGAACACGTTCTAGTTGTTAGAGAATGCAGTGATTTTCATAATGTATTCACGTGTTTACTATAGTGAATCTGGATTCAATGAATTAAATCCAGATTCACTACAGTAAACATGTGAATACATTATGAAAATCACTGCATTCTCTAACAACTAGAACGTGTTCAACTGAATTCAAGCTCTACAATTAAATTTACATAAATTGAATCCAGATTCACTACAGTATACATGTGAATACACTATGAAAATCACTGCAGACTCTAACAACTAGAACCTGCTCACCTAAATTCAAGCTCTCCATTTAAATCTCCATAAAATGTTTAAGAATGGCCAGCTGATGGACGATGAACGAGAGAGCTGAAGAACGATGAAGGATAGCTGCTAGTTGTGGAGTGACTAGAAGACGATTTCTCGATTGAGAGAGAGCTGAAGGACGATGAACGAGAGCTGCTGGTTGTGGAGTGAGAGAGCTGCGTGACTGTTGGGTTGCCTGAGCCGTGAGATTGCATGGGGAAATAGAAAACTACACTTGCATGGAGAACTCAACAGACAATCATTAATTACCTCTCTTTGGGGACTGTTAATTTTACCTGATTACCCTTATGCAGCTTTAATCTCAGCCATTGGATGAATCTAGATCCAATGGAGATGATTGGTTTTTAGTTTTTAGGATAGTGAGGTTTTTATTTGAACCTCTCCCTATATATATATATATATAATATATATATTTATATACATATTACATATTAACATATATATATATATATATATTAATATATATATATATATATAATATATATATATTATCTAATATACAATATATATATATATAGAATTAGAGTATATATAATGTATATTATATTATATTATAATAATATATATATATATTAGATAATGTATATATACTATATAATTATATGTATATGTTATATTATATATAATATATATATATATATTTTATAAATTATTATATATATATTAATATATATATTATATATTATATATATATATATATATATATGTATATAGATGTATATGTGTTATATTATATATATATATATATAGATTAATGGGTATCCTGTCATAGGAGGGGAATTTCCTCCTATGCGCCTCTAAATCACATGATTGAGCGCATTATGAAGATTCCGCTCCGTTGACTTGATACTAATTCTAAAACCCCAACAACCAAGTTTGGGGTGAAGTCCGTCGTGTTTGACACCTCCATCCGAGCTACGTGAAAAGTTCTATATCATTCAAACCGTTTAAAATGATACGATGTGGCATGAAGGGTCAAACCTGACGACGGTTCACCCCACCTTGGTGTGTTCAGGTTTTAGAATGTGTAGAATCAAGGTAACGGAGGATCATCCACAATGTCGCTCACATCATGTGATTTTAGAGGCAGTCATGGAGGAAATCCTCTCTAATGACAGATGCCACATTAACTCATATATATTATTATATATAATATTATATATATATATATATATATATATAAGATAATATATATATATATATATATATATATATGTTATTATATATATATATTATATATATATAATATATATTAATTATAAGTATTAGATAGATATATATATAGGTAGATGATTTTTATAATGAAACAACCTTTGCTTTATAACTTAGAATAAAACTCATCATAAGAAGGATATACCTCTTCATCTGAATACTCACCATCTTAACCATTTGAGTTATTCTAGTCTGAATCTAAAAACAGTGTGCCCCTACCCATAAGTCACTAAAAAACTTGTTTATCATCTTCATTTGTCTCGACTTCTGACTTATCGTCATCTATCAAATCTCAAATTGTAACTTTAAGACTCTTACCCTCCTTCTTTTCCTTTCTGTTCTAAGGGCATCAATTCTTATACTATGTTGGTTTCCTGCAACAATAATAGATATGTAAGTTATAAAATCAATTAAGGAATTATTGTTTACCTGTTTATAAATAGATTTTGTTTTTTCTGAATATATTTATGTCCTTTCTTTGACTTTAAAATAGACTTGAACCTTTTTAAAATAGGCGCAGATTGATAATCTTTATCTTTTGAACTTAAGTCGAATTCCATCTTCTTCTTAGATTGGTGTTTCTTCTTCTTTGCTCGGAAGGCTAACGACTTCTTCATCAAATCTTTTTCTAAGATGTCTTCTCTCTCTTTTTTAGTTAGACTTCATACATAATGAGATTGCTTATAAGATCATCAAGTGAAAGTTTAGAAAAATTTTGAAGTTTTTCTATTACTGTTACCCTTGATTCCTAATCTCGAGATAGAGAACAAAGAAATTTCTGTGTGGCTCCTTATTGTCATACTACTTCCCCTAAAATGTTTGATATGTTCACCATATCTGTAAATTGTGTGAACATCTCCTGTATGCTATCCGAGGCTTTCATCTTGAAATTCTCATATTTGCTCACTAGCGTTGCAAGCTTTTTCTCCTTCACCTGTGAAGTTCCTTCATAAGTGACTTCCGATGTTTCCCAAATTTCCTGAACAATAGTACAATTAGAAACACGGTTATATTCTTCAGTAGTAAGAGAGCAATATAAATCATTCATAGGTTTTGAATTATGAGAATAAATTTGTTTATCCTGTAGAGTCCACTTATCATTGGTTGGAACAATTGTAATACCATATACCTCAATAGTAGGTTTCTTATACCCATGTTCTATACTCTTTTAAACATCAAAAATAGTGAACAATTGGAAAACTCTTATACGTGCTTCCCAATATGTGTAGTTAGTGTCATCAAAAAATAAGGGTTCGTTGATAGCATGTCATTCAGGAGAAGCTGAAATGTTGGTAAGGCTTGACATCTCTACCCTAGATTTATGATACTAAAAAACGGGTATTGAGCCTCTGATACTACCTGTTGGAACTAAAATGCAAGGCTAAAGGGAGGGGGAGGGTGAATAGGATTGCTATAATTTTTCATAAAATTTAGAATATGTAGCGAAAATAAAATATGTGAAAAACTAAAAGCAAACTAACACAAAAGCACACAAGATTTTGTTAGTAGTTTAGATCAAAATCCTACATTCACTCTTCCTTCTCGTGAATGACCTTCTTCATTATGACTAGAGTTCACCGATATCACAACCTGATTTGGTAAGCTTCAAAGATCGTACCCTACAATTTACCCGAAACTAGTCATCTAACTTACCTTTTTATAATGACTAGAAGAAACCTAGCCCTATCGCACCCTACATTTCTATGATTGCATGCATACATATCAAGGGAATCCCGTCAGCGAAACTAATTAGCAGCTAAAAAAAATTTCTACTGATTATAATCAGTTCCTTATACATATCAATTTCTTGTACATACAAATCTGCAAACGACATTTCTTGCACATTCCAAAACATCTCGAAATATATACAATCCAAATTTTACAAACATCTCTCATCCAATCAATTTTCACAAACATTCAAAATATGTACATTCAATTTTCACAAACATTCGAAATATGTATATTCAATTTTCACGATAAGTTCTAAATCCACAAAAATTTCCACAACAAACCATACACGCATATCATAAGTTCTAAATCCACAAAAATTTCCATAACAAACCATACACGCATATCATAATCTCCAATATAAAGATGTCCAATATACAAACACGAGTTTAGGATATAACTCACTAAGATAGGTCATCCGCTCTATCCATGTCATCGTCCGCATTGCCACTGGCGGCTCCATCCCTACAACTCGTGCTCCCAATAGTATCATCTCCACTCTAACAACAAAATAATTTAAATTTAGAATCACATAATATTGTGTGTAATCATGTTTTATATATAATAAGTATACTTGTCTGCTACTCTCTCCACTACCAGTAAATACCTTTTGAGTGGCCAAAAAGCTCATAATCTGGCTTTGCACCCGAGTAGGAACCCGCCTTCTACAAGATTTCATTATTTGCCTAGAAACCATCGCAAAAGTAGCAGTAGGGTGGATCACTCGCATAAGCTCCTCTTGAATATCCTCCCACATCTCCTCAGAAATCTGACCATCTAACACACTAGTGGGAAAATGGGTTTCGCTGACGGAAACATCGCTGACGGGAAATTGCTGTCAGTGATGTTTACATCGCTGACGGGATTAACCGTCAGAGATGTTGTCGTCACTAGTCTTTTGATACCGTCAGCAATGTAAACATCGCTGACGGGATATGAACATCGCTGACGGGTAGCCCGTCAGCGATGTTGGCTATATATCCCTTTTTACCAGTCTCGTTTTTCTCTCCGTTCTCCCCAAAAAATTCATTCCACCGCCAAAAATTCATCCCCAAAAATTTCGTCCCACCGCCAAAAAATTCATCCCAAAAATTTCATCACCCCGCAGACCCCAAGACCAACGTCCAAATAAACTTCAGCATCTCCGACCCCGACCCCGACTTCAGCATCTCTGACATCGACTTCCCCTCCCTCTCTGACGACACCCCCGCCGCCTCCGGCGACGCTCCTCATCGGCCGCTCCCAGCGGCGGCACGCGGGAGGAGCTTGTCGGTTGACACGGTGTTTTTCGAGGGGCTAGGGTTAGGGTTTCAGCAGGGGGCCGGAGGCGGAGGAGGGAGACATAAGAGGCGCGGGTCGATGGATTGGTCGACAATGAGCTCGATGTTTGACGGGGATTCGTCTACGACGACGAGTTTGGATTATGCAAAGAAGGCGATGGCGGCCGATAAGCTTGCCGAGCTTGCGTTGATTGATCCCAAGAGAGCCAGAAGGTGAGGTCTTCTTCTGATTATTATTAGCAAATGGGGGGTGGTGGTGAGACTTATTGCTTGTCTTCGGTGAAATTTGTGGGTTTGTTTGGCTTTATGTTGTAGGATTCTTGCAAATAGGCAATCTGTGGGAAGTTTAAGTTACTTTTATGTTTACAATATATTTTGTCCTTTGATTTTATTAGCTCCTTCAAGTTTTAAGCGTGTGTATACTTTCCATTAGCCTTATGGTCTCCTTCAAGTTTTAGACTTTTGTTGATATTATTTTCCTTAAGCAACAGTTGCTTGCTTTCTTATGCTAATAACCAAGTCTTGATGCATTAAACAGAGTCTGACTCTTGAGTGGGTGGTTCTTTGGAAGAGAAAATGAAATATTTCCTCTTGTTTAATAAAAATTCTATCACCTAGATGTCGATGTGTACAACTAAAGTTTTCAGATTTGAAATTTTCCAACATGGCTCATGCTTTCTGTAGGAAATATACGGCCATATGCGGAACTTCTCATTGTAAGAAAAAGGTCTCATCTGAGAGAAACCCTTGCCATTTACTATAAGATATAATGCTTTGGGCATTCTATTAACAAAGCATTGAACTTATATACTACTAAGATTGGTTTAAGTGAGTTTGCTTCTGTATTTCTAAGGAGCTTGCTGTTATGATCATCTTTTGGCTTATTAAGACAGTGCTTCCCCCAAGTCTGTTATTTTTTGATGGTAAATGAATTAAATAATGATGATAATAAACTGTTATATCCACTTTGTCCTCAACTGTAACCTATCTTTTGATTTTAAATTACTCTTATCACATCCCACCTTATGACTTCTCCATTTTGATTCCATATACATCAATTTTCTTCTTATTTACACTCTTATAGAGGTGCATTTGCTAAATTTATCTGTAGAAAATTGTTTCATTGAAATGTTAAGCATTCTTTAATATATTTGATGGATGAATGTACGTACAAAATTTTGATTAGTAAATCATTCATCTGGGAAGCGGCATAAGAGATTGTTTTGTGGAAAATCCCCTGATGACCCGAGAGCCTTTGCCAAGAAAATATCACTGATGATATCATCTTGGGTGCAAGGCCTTGCCCAATCTTGACATAGGGTGTTCCTAAGTCTTCTTTGGCTAATTTTTTTTTTTTTTTGAGAACTATACTTCATTATCGCATGATAATAAATATCAAAATTTGTGAAAGGCATGCACCCTAAACATCATGAAATTGTAATAAGTTCATTGTCCCTTTTATTCACTGTAGAATTTCCAGTCAAAATTTGGTTGATTTGATCTGGCATTGGAAACTTGTTCCTACCTAGCTTAATAAAATCAGGATTTCTGTGTGTTTTGTTGTTGTTGTTGTTGTAAGGAACCTGGGCTTACTACGACTACTTTGAAGGCTTGGTGGAAGTCGCACTCAAAGTGGCCTTATCCAACGGTCAGCTATTTTTTATTTACCATTTGTACTATATTGTTTAGGTTTATGCTGCTTTAATACACCATATGGTGGCTATATGTTATTGACTTAAAAATTAAACGGTTGCTGCTAACTCAGTGGTAAAGAGATGAGGTTAGTGATAGCTCGACCCGGGGTCTCATGTTCAAGACTGGACCGTGACCTTTTTTAACAAAAGGAAAATAGTCTATAATCCGTACACTTCGTCCTCTTCTTTCTTGATCTTTAATAGTTTTGTGCTTTTAGTTTTGTCCAAATAAACTTACAAGAAGATTCATGCAGTTTCATAGATGATTTTCACTAATTTCACATCCATATCAGTGGTTAATTTTTTAGTTTGACCTTTGTTTTGATACTTGTTGTAATAGTAAGCTGATAGTTGTCATCATTTAATTTTGTCATTAAATAGGATAACTAAAAGGGTATTGATTTTCTCGTACTTTAGATATCATGCTTTTGTACTGTTTAATTATGAAAACTGTGATAGACATTTAATTGGTTATGTTATACATATTGCTCATCATATACTCTTAAAATGTCATCTATATGATATAAAACTTTCTTCCCTGTCTCAACTATTATGCTTGATAATTTTTATTTTTCACTTTATCATCAGGTGGAGAGAGGAAACACTGCTTACTTAAATGGGCTACGGGAGAAGTACTTTAGTATGTAGCATCTTTTGAGTCAAAGGCCAAGGAAATATGGCTTGTATTTCGGAATGAAGGACTGTCATTGTCGAAACTGATGTATATTACAGAAGAAACGAAAAAAGTCACTGGTAATGGAAGTAAAATAAGAAACATTCAGGTACTTCGTCCCTCAACTTGGTGGCACTGGTTGAGGACATCAGAGGAAGGAGAGAAAGAAATGCAAAATCTTATAAGACAGCTAGTATGTTGATCATCTTCGTTTTTAAAAATTATTGTATTTTTAAAATCTTTCTTTTTAGTTTTTTAAATCTCAAAAGGCATCAGACCTTGATATTTGTAACGTTTGGATTGTGAAAATTTTGAATGTAGTGTATGGATGTATGTGAGATACTAGATATGGAAAATGCACGAAATTTGTGAAATTTGAATGTATGCGAGATGGTTGTGGAGATTGTTGTGAAATTTGGATTGCATATATTTCGGATGTAGTGCAGGGATTGTATACAGGAAATCTAGTATGAAATTAGTATTTTTTTTTGGTGATTATATAACATCCCTGACGGCTTCACATCCCTGACGGTCGAAGCCGTCAGGGAAGATGCCGTCAGTAATAAGCATTACTGACGAGGCCGCCCGTCAGGGATGTTTCTTCCCTGACGGGACTTTTACTAACGGTGTATCCTTGATGAGAAGCCGTCAAGGATACGTATCCCTGATGGTATATTTAGCATCCCTGACAGGAAAGCCCGTCAAGGATGCCTATTTTTCTACTAGTGACATATTCATCACAGAGGAAACAAGCTGCATCACCTGCTGAGTGTAATCCTCCTGCGGCATGTAAGAGGGCCCCGAGGGCATAGTTGATGGCGTTGAAATCGGCGCAGGCTGGAATGGTGTAGACACCCTCTGAGCTCTAACTCCCATCCACCTGGTCCTCCCCTTTTTAGGAAGTCCACAAACTAAATGGCTCACATTATAATTCTGCTCTCTAGTCAGGGGCTCCTGACTCTGTGCAACAACCTCAGCATATGTGTTATCCAGAGCTTCCTAAAAAATAAAAAAATGAATTTAAGAATTGGCCTTTTAAAAATAAAAGATATATTTACCTGAACAAGTAAAATAAAAGATAAAGTAGTACCACAATTGAGGGGGCTAAGTGCTAATAAATGGTATCTTCTTTATGCCTTTTGTTATATGTATGCATGCATCTTCCTTAACACATTCACACATATAATTCATGTATGATAATTAAGATGACCAAAAGAAGAGTGCAAACAATAAATTCCCAACAAAAGAACAGGCTAATAAGAGCTAAGATAATTAGTTAACCTGCATTTTCTTGGCCAATTCTAGCTTTTGTTTCTTATTCTCATCGTCATCGTACCCCTTCCTAAAGTAAACCATCGTCCTCCTGTGCAGTTCTGGCAGCGGGATAAAGGGAGCATTCTGAGAGACATTTAAAAATATATTTATTAGTTTTATTTATCAAATATTCTAGGAAGCGGAGAGAATATATATAGAAGATTAAAAGACTTTATACCGTTGTCCTACAAAATTGATCCTCAATCTGAGCAAATGAAGTAGTCCCGGTATGATGATCATAATCTTTCTTCCATCAATTTAGTTTATTTCTCTGACATTTTTTCTTCAACATGAACAAAGAGAATTTTAGTACAAGCTATAATATACAATAAAATATATCACTAGTTTCAGATAAATAACTTGATGATATTTAACTACTATACATATTTACCTGGTGCTCTCTTGGCCCCACAATACTATAAGTGCAGCTAAGTGCTCAGGCTCAACCCTCTTATCTCGCTTGTATACCCTCTCCCAGTTGTGAGTGAAACAATCAAAGCATTTCTTCTTTATCTCATGTCTCCACTCCCGAAGAGAATGCTTGAACTTTCCCATGTATCCAAATAAAAATTCCCACCCTACGGGATTGTCTTCGATGTTGAAATATCTCTAAAAATTAATATATAGTTAAGCATGGACAATTGACAGAATTGAAAAATAATTGTGCTAAATAGAAGAATTTACCCAATAATCTCGATATATACTCTCCAGGACATGAAATGGCTGCTCCTCACCCTCGTAATAAGGATTCACATTATCACTCCTCCGTATCAAGCATCCAAGGTATGAGCTAAAGTTATTAGCCCATTGTCCGGTTGGAATCCTATTATGTCCCCATCTCACAATTGCTCGAAAACCATCCGTTGGTAACTTTTTTTTTAAAGTCACTTCATTGGCATCCTTTTTTCTGGTAAAGTTTTTCTCCTACAACAAAGAAAAAATAATAGATATATCAACACTTTTATTTAATCAATCTTAAGCTCTTAGAATTTAATTTATTATTATGAAATACTCAAAAAAAATTTATCAAACTCACCAAATCTTTGTCTGCTTTCATTTTTGCATCAGATAATATCTCATCAATCTGTGGGCCCCATTCATCCAATCATTTTTTCGCAAGCATGTATTTTTCTGTCTGCTTGAGTCTGTACCCCTCTGCACATGCTGGTAAAGGCCCGCGCTCAATCCCGGGAATATATGCTCGAAGTAGCATTGGAGGATCTGCATATAATGGTACGAGAGTCAGCTCTTCCTCACCCTCACCTAAAAAAT